CCTGCCTGCCTGCCTGCCTGCCTGCCTGCCCCTTGGCATCTATTTTTGCCTCTGGTGGGCGTATGGGCGCATGGACAGCGGTCAGTCATGGGCAGCGCAAAGCCCACCGGCGGGAGGGGCGATTGCCATCCACTCTGGGCCGCACCGACGTTGTCTCGCGACCACCAACAACAACGCACGCTCGTCCCGCCTCTGTCAAGATGCCAGCCAACGAACGTACTCCGCTCGTGGGGAGCGGCAACGACCTGCCGAGCCACAACGGCAACAACGCTTCGCACGGAGCGCCCAACATTGTGTCGTCGCTCTGGTGGATCGCGACGTGCTCCTGGATCAACGTCTTCCTGGTCTTTGTGCCGCTCGGCATTGTCGCCGAGCACGCGCACTGGCCTGCCATCTGGATCTTTTCGCTCAACTTCCTCGCCATCATCCCGCTCGCCAAGATCCTCGGCGATGCCACCGAGCAGGTCTCCCTGCGTCTCGGCCAGACGCTCGGCGGCCTGCTCAACGCCACCTTCGGCAACGCCGTCGAGCTCATCGTCGGCATCGTCGCGCTCATGCAGGGCCAGCTGCGCATCGTCCAGACCTCGCTCATCGGCTCGATTTTGAGCAACATCCTGCTCGTGCTCGGCATGAGCTTTGTCGCCGGCGGCCTCTTCCGCTCCGAAAACACCTTCCAGCAGACGGCAGCCCAGGCGAGCGGATCCATCATGACGCTCGGATGCATCACCCTCGCCATCCCCGCCGCCTACCACATGTCGCTCAAGTCCGCCTCGCTCTTTGCCGGCAACTTTGAGGCTCTCGCCGCGCTCAATGCGCCCATCGTGCATGGAGAGGAGGACCGCTCCGGCCTGCTCTTCATCTCGCGCGGAACCTCGCTCATCCTCGTCGGCATCTACGTGCTCTACCTCTTCTTCCAGCTCAAGTCGCACGCCTTCCTGTACGAGGCCGAGGAGGAGGACGACGAGGAAGAGGAGGCCAAGATGTCGCCGCTGGCCGCCATGATCGCGCTTGCCTCGGTGACCATCCTGACCGCCTTCAACGCCGACTACCTCGTGGGCGCCATCGACGAGGTGGCCAACGAGTACGGCATCCCCAAGGCGTTTATCGGTGTGATTCTGCTGCCCATTGTGGGCAACATGGCGGAGCATCTCACCGCGGTCTGGATGGCCGCAAAGGGCAAGATGGAGATCTCGCTCGGCATTGCCATTGGCTCGAGCATCCAGATCAGCGTCGGCATGATCCCCATCCTCGTCCTCGTCGGCTGGGCCATCCGTCAGCCGCTCACGCTCTACTTTGAGACGTTCGAGACGGTCATCCTCGTGGCCGCCGTGTTTTTGGTCAACACGCTCGTGCAGGACGGCAAGAGCAACTACATGGAGGGCGCCATGCTGTGCAGCTTATACGCCGTGGCCGCGCTCAGCTTCTGGGTCTCGCCTTCGGTCTAGGCGCACAGATTGTAGCTAGTCGAGTGTTTGGAAATTGCACTTTTGCTCCCAGGCTCAACCTGAAAGGCGGGGGGAGTTGGGCGGGGCCGAGGCGCCGGGCTCGGTCACGCGGGTGGGTGGGAATCGTAGACGCGGAGGAGGCAGTGGTGTGGGTGGAGGAGCATGGACGTACGAGGGAAGGTGCTCGTTGAGAAGTTGGGTCAGACGGGCTGTTTCGCCCTCGCCTAGATCGGCAAGGGTGTGGACGAGTTCGGCCGCCGGTTCGGCGGGGACTGGCAGCGAGGCCACGCCGGCGATGTAGATGAAAAGCAGTGCGAGTAAAAACCGCATGGTGGTGTCTCTCTCAACGCAGGAAGTTGGAGGGAAAGATGGGCAGGGGAGTGGTTATATAGCTTTCCGCCATGCTTTCCTTGGCAGGATTTTGCTTCTGCGTGGAGTGCAGGATGGTTTGGACTTGGCGGGGGTCGGGTATGGCCGAAATGCACAACTGTTGCTTGCAGGCGCTGCATCGACGTTCGCCAAGCTGCGCACACAATCCCATCTCATCTCGTAACTCTGCCGCGCATCGAACGTCGATCTCTCTTCTCTCGCGTCAAGGAATTCCAGGGCAATCAAAGCCTTTCACCGCACGAGACTCACCGCTGCGCGAAGACGGCAAATGCACTCGAATGCAGCGCCGAGTCAGCCGAACAACGAGTTTGTGTTCATCTTGCTGCATCGTCCACGCTCGCTCTGCAAATCCACACTCAATACTGAAAGATGGGGTCTGCACTGTAGCGTGGGCAAGAAGCGTCAAGGTTGGCGTGCGTCGCCGCACTATGAGCTGCCAAGCAAACAGTGCGCATGCGACGAGGCTCGAGAAATGCTCATGAGCGGATACAAGTGGCTCTGGGATTCGAGCAACGCCCCGTATTTTGATCATCGGCAGATGTCATTGTTCCCCTTCCAGGTCAAACAAGGTGACTCGGTCGACAAGACTTGAGGATCTACATCAGCAGATGAGATGGAGTGCTCTGTGCGCAGGGCCAGGCGAAGACCGACTCGAGCGTTCTGTGAACAAGTCTCGAGGTCTTTCATCAAGAGCGTGTGCGCGTCTTCCCTGGAAGCCCAGCAAGGATTCTTGAGCACTATAATCACTATCGTCGTGTCCAAATGGCACAGCGTATTCTGCGATCCGGGCAACAAGGCTCGCGTACTTTCATTGTGGCTGCGAGTGACCGGTGAAAGCGGGTCGGCAGTCACAAGTTCTTTCGCTAGGAGAATCTGCGAGAGAGCTGCGATTAGGGGCGGCGTTTCGATGCGATCTTTGCAATGGTCGATTGACGTTGACAACTATGCCGGAGGTGCCCAGGCTGAGCGTACTCAGGGAATGCTCAGCCGCGGGCTCCAGAACCGTCTCTCGATACCGCAGCACCATCTCCTGCCAAACGCCGATATAAATATGCTGCTTGTCGTGTGGGCCTTGGCCGTGCATCCCAAGAAACAACGCGTGCTTCGTGTTGATCTGCTGCACTAGGAGTTGGCTGCCATCGGGCTAGCTCGTCTCAAGCCGAGCATGTCTCTGCTCCCACTGAGCGAGTCAACGAACTTGATGAATCGCTCCGGCGTCAATTGCACAGCGTACGGAGAGATCGCCGTGTCAGTTGGGGAGGTGGTGTGAGCGCTGCATGTTGCGAGAGTCAGGCTGTTTGATGTCAAGCTAACTGTAAGCATGCTGTGTGGCAACTGAGATGCACCCTGAGTACATGCATGCGTCGATTTTTGCCCCTCGAGCAGATAGCGATCGTACTGTGGCACATGGCCACTCCAGCAGTTCAGGCCCCTCGGAGCCATAATTGACGTCCTGAATGCGTCGAGATCATCAGCATTGCGGCCGTACGCGCGAGGATTCGTAGCCAAGACATCTCGACGTGGACAGGGAGGGATGATGATGGTCAGGACTGGGAACAATGGGCTTCCTCCCATGCCCACTCCCACACACCGATCATCTCGCGCGCTTCCCACGCCACTCCGACGGTATGCCACTGTATCCTTTTTTCTAACTGTATGCTTCTCCGTGTTCATTCATACGCGTTGCTTTCATTGCCTGAATCTCTCTGACGCACCACTCTTCGTTTCACAGGGTCAAAAAAACAATGTGAAGGACTTCGGATGGCATCGTATGCAGGGGCTAGCGTAGCAACAGCTAAGGGGTGAGCATCCTGAATAACCATCAGTGCGGCGCACTTTCCAGCGCCGAGCGGAAAGTATACATGAAGGCGTAGTCATCGACGTTCTGACTCTGGGCGTGCGCACGCAGATGTTGCTGAACCTCGAAGGTGTACCTGGCGTCAAAGCTGACAATGCCGTACAGCACCGACGTAAATCTGCGCCCGTCGCTAAGAATGGGAGACCAGAGCGACATGAGATTCGTTTCGCCCAATCTGCCCGTCAAGGTTTCCACCATGGTGGACCCCACATGACCACGGTTGGTGTGGCGCAGCACCACCAGCGGGAGCCCATCCGGTGTGCGAGGTGGCATGACAAAGTGGTGGCGCGGATTGCCAAAGATCTTGTTCAGAGTGCTGCGATCGAGTCCCTCTCTGTTGATGGGCAGGAACTGTGCATGTCCCAGGAAATATTCGCGGTTGATGAAGTCCATGTTGCTACGGCTGTTGAGGTAGACGTACATGCGCGAGTCGGCTCGCACTCTGTGCATCGTCCTCTCATCCTCCACCTTGCCCAGTGGATCCGACACTTGCAAAAGAGGAGACACCCGCAAGCTTCGGGCTGCCTGCTGGTCGGCATCGAGATTCGGATACGCCCCAACAACCGCATCCCCATTGGAAGCAACAAACACGCGATCATACCCCGTGTTGGAGAGGTCTACGGGCGTGATCAGCAGCCGAGGACGGCCCATCGCCGCGCGCATGTTGTTCCTCCACAGCTCCCACTCGGCTCGTCTCCAATCAAAGATCGCCTGCGCCGTGGCCATTCTTATGTGATTCACGCCCAGGAGGTGATCGGCGTTCCTGGAGAACCAGCTGGGCTTCGTAGGCGGGTCCATCCAGCCTGCCACCGGTTCCCAACGCTGCACTGGAGCCCGCTGAGCTACGGGTTGGTGCATATACTGCCATGGTGCATGCTGATAGGTGGACACGCCAGGAGGTCGATTCTGCGGTTGCCCAAAGGTGCGCATTCTGGCATTCTGCTCGAGAAGATTTTGAGTTCCCGACGTTCCTGGATGCTGATCAGCAATTTGTTGGAAGCGGCGCGATCCAGGAGGTTGTCCCTGAGCCTGTTGAAAGGCGCCCAAGTCGTGGTGTTGCTCTGGCGATTGCTGCCAGGCGGGCATGCCCCGATGCTGTTCTGGACCGGCATGAACCGCATGGGTAAGACCGGGTCGTTGATCGGTGCCTGAAGAGAAAAAAGATGGGTAAGAGTCTTGCACCTCTCGCCACTCGGGAACCGATGAGAAAGAGGAAGAAGGAGCTCCAGCCCATCCCTCGCGGCTGTCTACTGAGCTCGAGCCGGACTCGAAAGCGTGCCATGGTTCATCGTGGCTCCATGGGTCCACATCCGCATGGTGTGCAGTGGGAACTTGTCCGATCGTCCACTCTCCTCCGCCTGCCGGTTGGGCCCATACGGACGCAATCAGTAGGAAGGCACAGAAAGTAGCAACCTGGCACCTAAGCACTGATGGCAACATTGGTCGGTGGCGAGAAGACTCTGCTGAGGCTGATAGAGATTCTGATGGTTGAATGAAGGTATCAATGTTCTCGAGAGCAGAACGAGGCTGCTTATAAGCTGCGACAACCCTGGCGGGACCATTCGCTGTTCCGATCCCTTTTTATTTGAGCTTCGCAACGGATGGCTTCCTGGGACGGCCTTGTGAGAGCGGCATTCACGTCCTCCTGCAGCGACAATACAAACACGGCCTCGACAGGGTTCATATGGGTATCCGCAATCTACTATGATACCATACGGCGCCACAGCGGATGAGCCGCGCCTTGTTTCATGTGGTACCGTGAAGAGCCGCAGCGGCGAAATATGAAAGGCACATTACAGTAGATGCGATGTTTTGCGTCTATGCTTGGAGGTGACTCACGGACCGTGTTGCGTGCAATTCTCAATGGAAAGACGAACAGCATCAGATGAAACATTGCGTAGCTCTGCGGTGTTTGTGAATGATTGGAATTGGCCCCGAAGCGAGGCTGTCGTACCGACCATTAGGCTTACAGCCTTCGGACGGATTTGAGGATGTCCTCGACAGGCTCTTCGACATTCTGCAAAAGCCTCTGTGCGTGGAAATCGATGGCGCTCCTGACAAGCTGAAAGTCATCGGCGAAGACCGGCTCCATGCGTCCATGCATGACCTCGCGCATAGTCTGATGATCCAGTGCCTCTCGCGCGTTTTCCACCTCGATTTCTACAGCTGCCTTGCTCTTACCGTACGCGCCTTCCGCGAGCCTCTTGGCAGGATAGGGACCAAATCTGGTGGGATCCCAAGGAGTTCCAAATGGCACATGCAGGCCCGGATCGACCGAGGCCCCAAAGCGGTAGCCAGCTTGACGGAGGTCGTTGATCTTTTGAAGCAGTTCCGGCTGTTTTTCAGGAAGGGCGTTTGAGAGCGCGGAGAAGTACTGCTTCATGAGGATCTCCTTCTTGGCGGCAGTCTGTGGAGAGAAGGAGGTCGAGCGCATGCGGGCAGCGAGGGCTTCCCGATGTGTCCGATAGTCCTGCAACATTTTCCTGCCTATCGTCGCCTTATCCACCTCTGGGCCGCTTGCAAAGACGCCTCGTAGGAGGAGCATTACGAGTGCAACAAGCGTCACTGAGGGATACCACATCGCAGCAAAGTCGGAAGGCTTGAGGAGTCAAGGCAATTGGGAATGCGATGTGGTCAGAAGGGAGGGCTGAACGAGCGGATTCTCGGCTTTTTATGTGCAAAAAAAATGCAATGCTGGATCACATGAAGGCCCTTATTGGTCCCACTCCGTTGCGGTATGACCATAGCAACGCTGTGCATCCGTTACTTCATCTGTAACAGTATCAAAATCTCGGACAAGAGCTCATTTGCTTCCAACGGTGCGCATGCCGTCACGCTCAGCTGCGGACATGTAAACATATTTACATTACGACTCTTGTTACTGCGGTGCCCCGAAAGTGCAGAGCTTTTTGAATGAATCTTGACGACAGGAGCAAGCACTCGTTCTGCCTGCCCCACCAATCCCCGTGCCAGTCGCTCATTGCGAAGCTCCATCGCAGCTCGAAGCACCAGCAGATCGTCAGTAAACACTGGCTCTAATTTCTGTTGCACGGATATTGCCGGTTTCTCATAAGCACTACAGTAGCTCTTCGCGACTTGGTGGTCAAAGAAGAAGTTGATTCAGAGCCGCATTTCCAGCCCACCGTTTACTGCATCCTGAAGGCAATGCATGTATGCTGCCTCGGAACGCCGAACAATTCTCGGTGGGCTGGACCGCTCCCACAGCTCATTATCGGCAAACAGTCTCATTGTGCACGGGGGTATATATGCATCTATTGCAAGCGCGTCCGTCAAGACAGCGGGCCAACGCGGACAGTCTCTCTGTCCCTCCTCTGCTTTTCGCGTTCGTTTGCCCGCCAGACCTTGTTTGACCTCTTGACTCTCTGCTGCCACTTTGCCTTGGCGCCATGCAGGAGGCGGGTGAGAATGACGCTCGCCTGTCCCTTTGTGAGTTCGCTTGCGGACCGCATCGCACGTGTGCGCCGCCCATCCTTGTCGCCCTCAGCTTCTTGGCTCGGCTTTGAGAGACCGAGTCGCTTCTCGACAAGTCGACGTTGGGAGTCGGTTGCTTTGGTTGCACGCCACTTTGCGCGGCGATTGAGCATGGCGAACAGCTGCGGTGCATTGCGCAGCACGTTCTTCTGCACGTACACATCGCTCCCGCGCACCGCTGCCTCGAGCGTTGGCGCGTCCAAAGCGTGGCGTGGGCGGCGGTATGGAGAGCCGCCCCGTGCACCGGGCCAGCGCCTCCCGCCCGCACCCGAGGAAGGATCACGCCCCATCGACGCTGCTGCCTCGTCCGCATCCGAATTGCTCGGCGTGAACCACGATGTCCACTCCGCACCTTCTGCCGGCGCGGAACCGTCGCCGTGGTCGGAGTTGGCTTTACGCTCGACGGTGACAAAGCCGTAACGAGGCACGTCAAGGATGTACGTCTGCCCACCGCAGTCGACCCAGGCATTGGCGCTCATGGTCTCGACCACGCTGGAGCGCGCCAACATGGCCTGCTGCAGCTGGTGCGGATCGTCGTAGTCGATGTACGTAATCTTGGTCGGGTCGGCGAGCTCGACTGCGAACGGGTCGGCGTCGCCCTCGACATCAGCGGGGTCGAATTGCTCGGCTTCGTGTGCGCGCTCGAGCAGACCCTCGGGCGACTCGTCCTCGATGATGTCGTCTGCGTCCAGGCCAAAGAGAGTCGGGGTACAGACGACGCCCTTTTCGATGTTGCCGACAATGTCGAGCACGAGGCAGTCGCGCTTGCCGGTAGCGGGAGAGAGACGAAGACCGCGCCCGATCATCTGAGAAAAGAGGTTACGCGAGCGTGTGGGTCGTGCGAGCAGGACGCAGTCGATAGCAGGCACATCTGCGCCCTCGGTAAGGATGGCACAGTTGACAAGGACGGGATAGACGCCAGCGCGGAAGTCTTCCAGCAGCTGGCGGCGCTCGAGCATGGGCGTGCCACCATGCAGATAGCGGGCATCGATGCCTGCCTGACGGAAGGTATGCGTGAGCTCCTGGACGTGCTCGATGTTGACCGCAAAGATGAGCGTGGAGCGTCGTTGGTTGTGCGCGCGGTCGAGCCAAGCCTTGAGCACGAGGCGATTCACTACAGGCGTATTGACAACCGCAGCGAGCGAAGACGCGGCAAAATCGGCGTTGAAGTTGGACAGCTTGACCGACGCCAAGTCGATGTCCGCTTTGATGGACGTGAATCGGATAGGGCACAGCCACTTTTCTCCGATCATTTCGAGGAAGTCCTTGTGGAAGACAATGCGATCAAAGACCTTGCCGAGCGCGAGTCCATCGTGGCGGCTGAAGGTGGCTGAGAATCCGAAGACGGGCACCGAGTCCGATTCGGTCGCAGCGCGTGCCTCGGCGTCGAGTCCAATGTGTGCATCGAAATGCGAGAGCACCCTCAGATACGATGGGGCGGCGGCGTGATGCGCCTCGTCGACCACGACGGCTTTAAAGCAGCTCGGCATGAACTTGTCCAGTCGCTGCTGGCTGCGATTTAGCGTCTGGTACGTCGCCACTGTTACGTCTGCCAGTCCGCTTGCCTTGTACTTGCTGCCCTGCTCGATCTCGACCGTCTTGTCGGGGAACATGGATGTGACAGCATTGGCGGCTTGCAGCGCGAGCTCGATTGAGTTGACCATGATCAGCACGCGATCACCACCGTTCGGGCGCGGAGGTAGCCGGTCGATGAGATGGGTGAAGATGGTGGTCTTGCCGCTTCCCGTGGGCGAAGAGACACCGATACGGGTCACGCCGCTCTCGAGCGCGGCGAGACATTCCTGGATGCACTCCTCTTGATACGGCCTCAGGGAGAATTCCGGGCTTGAAGCCGACGAAGCGGCGGTAGCGGCCAAGGCGTCGTCATTGACCAAGTGCTCTCCTGAAGGACCAGTGATGCGTGCTGCCGCTGCGCTGCTCGCAAGTCTAAGCTGGGGAAAATGGTGACCTTTGGCTGCGGCAGCCACTGATGAGGCTGGTTTAGTCCAAGCCCTGGATGCCACCAGGCTCAGCGTCCGTGACTGCGGTAGGATGCATGCGGTGCGGATGGCGCTACCGCGCATGCATCTCGCAAGTGCCGCTGTCATCTGGGTGACGAGCGCTTCGGAAGGGCCGAGCACAGCTGGTGAGACTCTTGAAACGCTGTAGAAACGAGTCGAGGGGATGGATGGTGGGAGCAGAAGTCACTTTGGGAGTGCCTCTCATTTCTACATGCGGCAGCTCCGAACATGCAGCAAGACTCAGCACCTTCCACTCCACTTTTTTTTAGGCTGCTCGCCTGAGCGCAGCTTCCAAAGTCACGGAATTCGGAACTGCGACGCGACCCTGCCCTCGCGGCAGTCGCGTTGATGGGTCCAAAAGAACAACACCTCGAACCTCGCGCTCCTTGTCCGCCTCACACCGCCTTCGTCGTCCGAGGCTCCCTCGCAACACGATACACTCGCACTCAATTCAACCGCACACGGAAGAAAACCATTCGGCGCACTTTTGGGAGTCTTTATGCAGCGGACAGTCGACAACACACACACACACACTATGACAGGCAGCAACTTCCACGACTTGGCAGAGATTCTGCGCGAGGCGGCACTGCAAGAAGCCGCGAACCGGACAAAACAGCGCTCACAACTCATCGCATCTGCCGCAGCAGCGAGCTCGGATCGACTCGAGCTTGACGCGCAAACCGAGGCCAAGGCAGACGAGTTGCTGGCCGTATACGAGGATGAAAAGGCCAAGAATGATGCGCTCGCAAAGTCGCTAGACGAGGTAAGTCTCCTCGCAGCAATGCCAAATGGATGTTTTACTCATGGCATCCGATATGCTCGATCGACGTGATGCAGAGACTCGAGGAGCTGGCCAGAACTGGCGCGGGCAAGACCGACGAGAAGACCGATGGTGACCAGCGCAGGCTAGAACTCGAGTGGCAACAACTTGACTTTGCCATATCGGCGCTGGAGAAAGGTGAGTCCACATTCAACCCAGCTTTGAATGTACCGCGAAAGCTGACCTCTTCTGGCTCCGCGATGTTGGCCTCGCCCCCTGTGCAGAGAACAAGCAAGCACCGGCTCTGGAGTCGGCGACGGTGCTCGACGTACGCACGCGCAGCGAGCTGCACGATCTCAACACGCAGTACGCGTCTGCTCTTGATATGCTCAAAGCGGAGCTTGGTGCGGAACGCGAAGCTCTTGCGCGGGAGAAGCAGCTGCGTGCCGATCTGGATGTGGTGCAGCTGGGGCTCACCAAGCGTCTTGCGCAGCTGCAGCGCAAAAGAACGCAGGACCTCACGTCGGAATCTGCCATACGGTAAGTCTCTACCATCGCTCTACCGCCGCTTTGCATATGCGCTGACCTCCTCTGCACGGCGCTTTTTCAATGTGGACAGCGATTTGTCGCGCAAGTTCCGACGCGAGGAGCACGTGTTCAAGGAGCTACTCGCCCAACTCATCGATATGGGCAGTGCCCTGTTCGGTGCGGACAACCGCAAGGTGGTGACGTTGCGCCATTACTTGGACGAGTTTATGAACCAGGCTTGGGACCATCCCTTGGATCCGTGGGTGAGCGCGTCCAAGCTCGCACTCCGACGCACGGGCGGTGAGGTCGACGATGCAATCATCGAGCTCTTCCTGCGCGCCAACATTGTCGTCGCACACCCCAAAGATGCACGTCGCTGGAGACTCGTTGCCTTTCACAAACCCACGAGATCGTCGTCGTGAGCCTCCTAACCAGCGATGTCACTTGCTTGCCTTGCTTGTAGGAATAAAGTATACCCTTTTCTTCCGTTCCTCTGCGGGATGCGTGCCGCTTGCTGCGATCTCATTGTTGGCGCATGACTATTGGCAGACGCGAAGAAGCATTGGGTTGCACCCTTCGGCAGCAGGTTGGCGACGACAAAAGCTAGCGAGGCTCGAGATCATCGCTTAGGCACGTCCGGTATCGCATCTCCTCCGATCCAGGCGAGCAGGCAAGCGAGCTGCATTGTTTTCCCGCCATGAGCACCCTGCATCCGAGTGCACGCTCCTACACGTGGCTGCCGCTCCTCTTCCGACCGTAACTCAGGACCAGAGTGCACAGACAACATCGCTTCTGCAACCCAAAGCGAAGGCACAGGCGTGCAGGGACGAAGAAAACGCAAGGCTTGCATTGTACACGATTTACAAACGACGCAAACATCGCCGAGGTGGATCGAAAGCGCGGGAAACAGAGACGAGAACGCGATCAAGAGGCGTGACAGCGCTGCCACAACGCGCAACGCGAAGCCGCAGCGCCACCCGCCCAAGTCGAGGCACAATATTAAGACGGGGGCTGCAATGAAGATGAGTCAAAGGTATAATGAGGTCCTGGTTGAATGAGAACACCGTTCAAGAAAGGCGCAGCCGTCTCGAGGAGCAAGTGAGACGCCGCGTAACGAGATTTCTGCGTTCCGGCTCACAACGTCATGCTGCTGTGATTGGGGGTCAAGCTCAAGATTCGGTGACCTCGAGCTTGCCAGCGCGCGGCGGGTAAGAGGTGGGATGCTGGTTCCAGTAGCCGGCGTTGCGGTCGACCGCTGGGTCGGTGTAAGCGGCAGGCTGCGTCGGGTCGTGCTCCTGCTTGGTGGGCCAGCCATAGCTGTCGGAATGGGACGCGACCGAATGCGTCTGTGGGTGGCTCTCGCCGTGCGGGCCGGGCGCAAACGGCGAGGGGTTCGACCACGTGCTGTCTGTAGCAGACGAGTGCGCCGACACGGTGGTCGGCTGCGACGAGAAGGGCATCGAAAAGGTGACGCCGCCGCCGTTGCTGCCGTTCGAGTCGGTGCGGTGGTCGAGCGCACCCATGGTGGCATAGTAGGGGTCGGCCGAATTCATCGCGCCGTTGTGAGCCTGAGGGTCCGAGCCGATGTGCGACAGAGCCGGCGCAGTGCCGTTGGAACCCTTTTCGCTGCTGCCGCCATCGATGGATCCGGCCGAGCGCTCCTTCTTGTTCGTCTTCTTCTTCTGCGGGTTGTCATCGTAGTGGCAGTCGCGCTTGCCGATTCGGCACTGCTTGCACGGCGTACCGTCCTGGCTACACTTGACCTTGCGCTTTCGGCAAACGAGGCAGCCGGTGCGGCTGCGCTTGAACTTGGCCCTGCGAGCCGGACCGGGTCCGCCGGGGATGTCTCCTTCGAGCATCATGCCTGGGCCGAGGTGCGACATTCCGTAACCCATGGCAGCCACTGCGTGAGCGGCGGTGCCAGGAGCGCCGTACGGGTTGCCGTATGCGCGACCACTGGCAGCGGAGCTGCTCATGGAGCGGTAGCGCGTGGGCGACATGGCCGACATGGCGTTGGCATCGTAGCCGTATGCAGGCTGCATACCCGAGTTGGCGCCATAGGCCATGCGGCTGTGGTCGTATCCCTGAGGGGGGGCTGCCGACACGGACGCATGACGGCCGTGCACGGCCGACGATGAGCTGGCGCCCCAGGGCCAGTGACGACCCGAGGAGCCAGGCACCTGGTAGTCAGCCGACACGAGGCCCGACTTGCCCATCTGCGGCTGGGTGCGGATTGCGCGCTCATCCAAAGAGAATCGGCGGGCATCCGCAGTCTGTCCCTGTGCATAGCGAACCTGCGCATGCATGGGGGGCGACTGATCGTAAAAGTGACCGCCAGTGGAGCCGCTGTCGATGCTGCTGCCCAGACCGACTTGGTCGAACTGGCCGTTGAGCGAGTAGATCGAGGCGTGTCGGCTTGCGGTCAGACCGGGAGAAGAGGGCGCCCAGCCGCCAGTGACGTCGTGGGGCGACGAGATGGACGAAATCGAGTCCTGGCGGTGGTGCGGCAGACCCATCGACGAGTTGTGCGAGAAGCTTCCTCGATAACCTGTGAGCGTGTGAATTGGTGGGTGGGTGCAGGAGGTTCGGGTCAGCAACTGTTGCATAAAAGAGCGCCTGGCGGCCAAGCTGAAAACTTACTGGACATGGGCGAATGCGGCTCAGCCATTGCGCCCGGCTGCGGGTGTGCCGGCACGGCAGCTGTAGCATAGGGGTCGTTCGAGGTATGCGTCGGCTCGAAGGGGCGAGGAGCTCGTGGCTCGTGAGCGTCTGTGCCAAAGACCTGTGCGGAGCGGTCTGGCAGGGCACCGTAGTGCGCAGGGTAGCTCGCCTGCTGCTCCATGTAAGCGCTGTGAAATGGGCGGGAAATGAACTCATATCGGGTCAGAAACTAGCTTTCATTGTGCGCTTGCATCTTGGCAGGCGAAGAGGCCGAGGGGCGCCGCCACTTACTTTGTGCTCATGTTCCGAATTCCGCCTCCGTCGAAGAAGCGGTGCTAGTCGAAAGTGAGTGGAAGCAATTCTGCTCTGATGTGCTGAAAACGAGGTGGCGTTCGGGACGAATCGAGTGTGAATCCGTCGGGAGAGGCGATCCGCGAGACGAGTGCGCGACAGCACCGTGCAAAGTCAAGAAAGCCGATTCGAGTCGGAGACGTGCCGACGATTATTGGCTTTGCGGGGGAAGCCGAAGGCGCGACAAGCTGCTCGAAGATGATCACGAGCCAAGTCGACCGGGGGGGATGCGGAACGATGAGATGCGGAACTCAACGATGCGGCGTTTGCGCGAGCGCGAGAGGCTGAGCGTTGCGGAGGCTAGGAGGAGGGTCGAAGACGTAGATGTGCGACGATGTGGATGGGAAGCAAGGTGCGAACGAATGGATCCGGTGCAGTTACAGGGTCAGGAGCTGGACATGAAGACAGCGACGAGGTGGAAATCGCGTGCGAATAGACCGAAGGTGTCGCGGGGAGACGAAGAAGAGGCGGCGGCGTCGGCAGCGGAAGCCAAAGGGAGGGGGCCAGCAGCGGCGGCGAAGCGAGGCTAGGCGAGCACCAGAGGCAAGTCCACGCAGTCTGACTGATGGAGTCCAGAGAAGAGATCAAGGGAGGGGGGGGGGCAGCCGCAGTGCCAACATGAGAATCGGTGACGTTGGTGCCTTGCCCAGCGCCAACGACTGCATACCGTGAGGGGGAGGCGTCGACTGCAGGAGGGCAAGCACGAGTGAGTAGGAGAGATCTCACTTTCTGAGACAGGGACCCAAAGTGCGAAGGGGGGATGGCAGGCAGGCCACGGAGGGCACAGACCGAGAGGCAAATTACAGCATGGCTGAGCAACAGGAGGGCAAAAAGCGTGCATGGGAGGCGGCAGAGCGCTGCAGCCAGATGGCCAGCTCGAAGCGAGGCAGATCGCAGGCAGTCGAGCTTGATGGCCGAGCGGCGTGGATTCCTCACGGCTGGACTCCGACCGTCACCATTCGGGCGGCGGCGTCGACGGCACAGCAGAAAGCGCTATCGGCAGAGGATCAGCGGCGGTCCGTCCCGACCCAGCCAGTCGCGCGTGCGCGTGCGCGAGGCCGACGCACTGGCGCCTAGGCGGGGCAATGTAGCTAGCCAGGGCGCGCGGTCACTTTTTGGGTCTGTGCAGGCAAGCAGGCTGGTTGAGGGGAGAATGCAGATGAGGCGCCGATGGATGCGCTGACTGGTTGGCTCTCAGCTGCACGGCGCTTGCGCGGAAAATCGTAAAAATGAGAGACATCTGCACGACGGCGCAGCGACGAGCTGACATGCAGGTGCACTGGGTCGTTGAAACTGCATTGCCCGTCTTCAATGCCGACCGTGAGCGCACTGCGAAGAGCGACAAAAAACGTATTTTCTAAATAAAAAAAAAGAAAGAAAAAAAAACGACCAAATTGGGAACCTTTGCAACGGCCGGTTCAGGTGGTGGTGGAGTGAGCGTGGGCAGTGCTCCGATCGATTGATCTAATTTGGACCTCGGCTAGCCAACTCCGCCGCCTGGGCTGCTGACCCCGACACGCTCTTCGAACGATGTGATGAGATCCAAGCCCAGCAAAAGCATCACGCCGCCCCCGACCTGCTGATGCATCCACCTCCTCCTCGACGTCAACGGTCATTCCGCCACACGCTGCCGCACGTTGGCTGGCTCAAGGATGGTTGGCATCCTCTTCGGCTCGGACGCTTGACGGATGGCTCGATTCGGCCCTACGACCCTTCGTCCTGGTAGGGCGTCTTGGCAGCTTCAGGCTGAGGCTGCCAATTTGACATTTTAAAAACAAATAAAAAAATGCTGGAATCAGGCAATGGCCGACCAGTGGCAAAGATCGGATTGGGAAGGCTTCACATGCAAATGCATGCACGGTCGAGGGCAAAGACATGGCTCCAGCAGAAGAAGCCTGCGCAGGTTTTCTACCGAACGCCGTCATCGGGCCAAAGGGGAACTCTGCTGTTGGTGCAAGTTTGGGGAGACAAATGGTTTCACGCTGCTCGCCCACCGTCGCAAAGTTGGCCGCGACGTGCAGTCCAGCGTCGAGGGTGGGGCGACTTCGATGGCTTGCGCCAAACGCTTGGGTGACTACGTCCGGCGGAGTGGAAACGTCGTTCGCGTCGCAGCACGGCGGCGCTCGCTCTCCACGTCGGAGGCTCTACGCAGGCATTGATTTCCAACTCCGTCGTCCCACTCAGAATCGACTGACAGTGCAAACAAAGCGGAGCGCAAGTCGCCCAGCCCAATCGCCCCGCCGCCGACGGGGCCCAAGTCTGGAACGGCGAGCTTTGCTTAGTCGCCCGCGACCACCTGACTCTTTGAGACACCGTCCTACACCAAGCCGGCTCGCTTCTCTACGGACTCCGCGACTGACCTCGTCCAGCGCTGCGACTGTGGAAAAGGCGTGCTTATCGTGGTCCTCGGCGATGCATCTCGACTGCAGACACCTGAGAATGTTGCGTCTTTTCGGCGCCGACTTTTTCGAGTGGCTCAGCATCTGATAGCAGCGGATCGGCCACAGAAAGTCGCCTGACCTTCGCGCATGAGTGCTCAAGCTTGCCCTTTGCCTTTGATTTCGCTGCAACTGCAACAGAGGGAGGCTTTGACTGTGGGTCCGAATTTTAGCCTCAAGAATTTGCAGCCCTGCAGTGGGGAATGGTCGAGTCCAGCAAAGGCCGGCCGTGGACTGGGTTAGGCGCGCCTGTCAAAGAAGTCGAATCTCAGGGCTGCTGTTGGAAAGGCAACCTAAATTTTGCACCGCACCAAAACCTTGCCCCTCGAGTGAATTCGTTGGATCTACCATTTCGTCCGGGAATCTCGGCGCTCCGAAGGAAGCAGAGGAACAGTCGACACCGCGATGGCCTGAATCGCTGCCCTAGCGAGACAGAGGGACTCAACGCCTAGCTATAGTAGCTGCCCTGACGAATGCGACGCGATCGCATCGCCGCAACGAGGTCCAAAGCAGCGTAAGGCACAGTGACCTAGGCGCATGAATCCTATCTCGCCGCATTGCCTGCTTCGCTTGCAGCAGCACACCCTGGAAGCATGATTTCGCGGTTCGAGCTGGTATTTTGGGATCCAACCACAGAGCTCGTAGACAGTGCGAGACACAAATGTACATCTAGCCGAAGGCGTACGGCCGAGCGCGGCCAGCTTTCGAAGTTCGCATCCACTGCAAACAGGCTTGAAGCCATGGCAATCCGTTGAACGGCCGGATCAAGAACGGCTCGGATTCGGCTCGATTACAGTTTCTTCCACGGATGCAACTCGTAGAACCGGGCTTTGAACGGCACTGCGTCGCAGGTCTCGTTGCAGAGGGGCTGAACGCTCGAGCTGAGTCCGCACCTTGATCATGGAGCATCGCGCGAGCATTCGATCTGATCCCGTCGGCACAACACGATCTCAGAAGAGGCTTTCAGCTCGGCCGTCTCGAAAGCACTTTTGACGCTGCGACCTAGGCTCAGCGTCTGCTGACGAGAGATGGCATCGGCATTGACCCGATTCTTTTTGAGAAATGAAAAAAAA